TCTTCGTTGAGAACAGATTTTCACAACAGGAAAATGATGTGAATGTGAATGTTAGTCTTCTTGAAGTCCACATCCTTTTCCCTACTGTACAAATCATTGAGATAAAAAAAAATAATCGATTCAACGATAATTCAACTTCAAATCCATTCAAGTTTTCTTCCTGCTACGACAACTTTGTAAGAAATTCGAATGATAAAAAAACCCAAAACTTGTTTCTCCTTAAATATGCAGGTCTATTAGAAATAGTATTAAATTTAGAGAATGATCATTTCCAGAAAAGTTGTCGTGTATAATATAGAAATTATTATAATTACCGGCAAAAGTTCAAAAACTGAGATCTGAATAGAACGAATATCAATTATTGGATAATCTGACATTTTCAATTTATTTTGCGTCGCTGAGATTCTAAAAAGTCAAGCTGCTATGTGGATTTTTAAGAGTGAACGAACATTTGAACAGTATCGAATATTTTTGTCAATGAAGTGAATCTCATTTTTCCTGATATAAAACTGTATAATGTCTTACTTGTAGCAATATTAGTTCTAAAATAACGAAATGTAAGAGAATCATTATAATATCATTGAAAATTGAACCATGTTGTATCTTCGTGTTGTTCTTTTCAATTTTACATTGATTTCCATTGGAAAACATATGGCTGAGATACTGATGGATTTTATTCAAACATGTAAAACATAGTTGATGAAAACCAATGAAAAATGAATCAAATTATTAGTATACAATGAACATCTGAAGTTCAAGCTGATATAGTCACAAAATCAGTGTTAAACTCATTTTTGAACAGATGATAGAACTTTGACAATGTATCACAATTGTATTCTATTAATTGAAAATTTCAGATTTGGCTTTTCTATGAATATACAACTAGGAAGTTATTAATTGGATGAAATGCGTGGCCTTGCCTAACATTAACTGAATACATCTTTTACTAATTCTTTTATCACATTGCAGGTGGTTGAATGTTTCTTAAAAAAATAGTATTTCATTTTTGAAAACTCACGCATAAACACTGATATACAGTTGAAAGTACTACGAGCAAATGTTTAATTAGGTAAGATATAACTAAACGTACATATATATATAATTATAGAGAGCTCGTCTTAATCTTAACCTATTTTATAATTAAATTTTGTAGAAATTCGTGATTAAAATAAATTGAAACATTATGTTGATCGCAATGACACTCACTGAGCTTTGATCGAGTTTGATCAATTTTCTATCAGGATAATTTTAAATCAACACTGCTTAAGATTGAATTAATGAATTTACCAAATGAGTATTAAAATGAGACAATACAACGAGCGGTATCTTATATACGACTAGTAGTCTGTCAATGATTAAATCACTTCTCTTTGCTTTCAACATTTAACGTATATTATTTTTGTCATTAAGAAGTCCTAGAAATTGTTTCACAACTGATATGATAGAGATGCTATCGTCGGCAAACTTATAGATTATAGACTAGTGTGAAACAATCGTCCTCTAGCGGATCGTGCACATTTCTTACATGTGTATTGACGAGTTTGATAGAATACACCAGTTGATATTATCCAGTTGATCATATAGTGAAGAGTATAGCTTTTAGTGTTCGTCATTGCGATATATATTGTTATAGTTTTAGTTTTTTATTGCAAAAAGATCAGATGAAGTGACTAAGAACAATCATACAATCAGAATTAATATTAATAGATTGATCTTGTATTAGAAAACAACTGTGAAATAAGTCAAATAATAAGGATTTTATTACTAAATATGTTTAAAATGAAAATTATAAAAGTGCATCAATAATCAAAACAGTTCTCTTATTTGAGACTAAGAATATGATTCAAGAGGTTTCAATAAAATGATTAAAATTGTTGTCATAATTGAATGATGAATATTCATCAATATCTATGAAGATTGAGAACGTTTTCTTGGAAGCTTTACCACACCCACTTTATTGAATGTTTTGATTTTGTTAGTTGTTGAAGACATATTAGGCTTAGAATGATTTACTGTTGATTGTAACTTAGTGGCTGCTCTTTTCAATTTCTGAACATTAACAGTACTAATGGACGATGATCGTGCTCGTTGATTGACAGATGAATTAAGATGATTGTTTTCTGGTTGGGCATTAATGATACATATGGCTGGAACATTAGCACTTTTAGTGTTAGAAGAAAGCCTAACATTTTGTTGATTTTTCTCGTGATCATGAAGTTTAGCATCAATGATTGGCGTTGATTGAGTTCCAGCAGTGTTAGTACGAGGTATTTTCGTGACCGTAACTTGATGACTTTTAGTTGATGATGTTGATGAAACACGTAGCTCTTGTGGAAGCACAGCTTCTGAATTGATATCTTTATTGTTATTTGATAATTTTCTTACATGTTGAACTTTCACTGTAGAGGATCGAAGAGCTGGTACGATATCATCGACATTCTCTATTGCCTGTTCTCTTGGTGTATTTCCAGACTCAAGTGGACCTTCAGTTTTAGTTATTCGTACAATTTTAACATTATTTGCATTCTTTACAATAGAAGTTTCTATTGGCATGTTTTGATTTATTTGTGTTCGTGCAAAAGAATTGTTGGCATCGGCACTTTTATTGAGTACATTGCGAGTATGAGAACTTTTATTTCGTTCGATTATTCGGGGGCTTCGATAAAATACTGCTGATGATTGTGTCATGTCTTGTGTGCTGGATAGTAAATATTTGCGTTGTTGGATTATATCATTTATTTGCTTTCGTCGGCGGCTTTTTTCGGCAGGAATCCTATGAAAAGTACAATGTATGTTAAATACGAAATATTTCCTAGCAGAATATTTTTCTTATTATTTCAGACAAAACTTACCAAAGAAAACGGTATAAACAACCAAAGCAGCATATAATCATAAGTAGACCCAATAATGACAAGCCCAAAATCAGTGGCCAATTTATAGGATTTCCTATTTAAAAATGACAACTGATATATAGATTAATATATAAGAAAAGATTAAAATAACATGCCATATTTGTTGAAAAATAACAAATGACAAGAACCGAATTTTCGAATAAAAGACTAATATATCAACTAGGATTTTCTTTCCTCACTGGATAAAAAGAATGAACGTTTAGTAATTCAGAAATTTTCAAAAAGTTTCTGGTGATTGGAAGATAACCAGTCTATGTCTAGATTTCATGTAAATCACTCACTAATAGATGTTCACAGATCCTACCTGGACTTTGGGTTGTTGTCATTGTAGTCCTATAATATAAAATAAGACACTTTCATTTCATCCTTCTAGGACAACAAAACAAAAGAACATAAGATCTTCGGGTGATATCGATTGTTTGTAAAATTTCATTCAAATCAAAATCTCTAAGGCAACCTTTTGAGATGTTAACAAAATTGTGAAGTTTATATACATATATATGCATTAGTTACTTGAAACTTGGAAAGTCATTTGAGAATGCATAGTATGAAATCGATTGTTTCGCAAGATTGAAATGTATTCTACTATTACTTACGTTGTTGTGCTCGTAGATGTTGTTGACGTGGTAGTAGTTGAAGTGGTGGTTGTCGTTGAAGTTGTAGTAGTTGATGTTGAGGTGGATGTAGTAGAAGTTGTAGTCGACGTTGTTGTTGTGGTACTAGTAGTTGTAGTGCTTGTGGTGGACGTTGATGTAGAAGCTGTCGTGGTTGTTGTTGGTATACAAAGTACAAATGATGTTACTACATCGAATGTGATACAATATTCTGATGATTGTACTTGTTCTCTAGTTAAGAGAATCACGACATCATACATGGAATAAAAGTTAGTAAAAAAAAAGACTTTACTCTGTGAAGGCAACGACACACAATTCTTGTAATCCAATTTGATTAGCTTGTGGTGTCCAAGTGAAAGTTTTATAGGATAATGATGAATTTGAAGATGATTTCGTCAGACTTCCAATTACCATACCAGATATTCCATTTGTGACAACAATTTCGTCAATATCAACGTCATTTGGGTCACACATCGTCATGGCATAAATATTAAAACTCTTTGCAATACCAGTAAGAACTTCCATACAATCTGTAACAGGGATAATCTGTGGTGATTGTGGACAGAATGGTTCTGGCATGACATAAATTAAAAATTGAACTGGTACCGAACTCATTGGAGTATTACTTGATGAATTGATAAAATCTTCTACCTATATAAATAGAAAAGAATTGAATTTCATCTTGAAATATTAGAGTCTCAAAGATGTAGTAGGAAGGATATGGTGAAATTTGAAGCTTGGTATCATGATGTTTTCATGAGATATTCATCAAAGAAATGTCACAGAAAAAGTTAATATAACAATGCACAGTTTTCTGTGAGTCACTATTCTATATATTTTATTTTTGTTGCTTTTGAGAATGTATGCTAGGCTGTAAGACCTGAAAGAAACCTTTTTTTTTCTTAAATTCAGAGCTACTATGTCTTGATAGATACGTTGTTCGACACCTATCGACAGGTACTGTATTCAAAAAACCTCACTATCATCAGTAATGGAATGACCGTGGATACGTGACTAACGGCTATCTCTGACGACCAGTTCAATAATATGTTGACTATGTTGTGACATACATTTGCACTGGTGGCTGGTGTGTGGTTAATTAGTGTACGAAAACCTTAGAAAGTTGAGCGCAAGAACCTTAAGGAAGACTGACTTTCTTTCCAGAACTATTATTAGTACTATTTGTAGGAAAGATATCGAGCTATGGAATCTGTTAATAAATCGTAGACCATCTCGAAATGTAGCTGAAAAGCAAGGATATGCTTCCTTGTTTATCTTCTTTTTTTAAACTCTTACTTTTCTGTGGGAGGCTAAAAGTGATAAGTTTAGTATCATGAAACACTCTGAAGAGATAGGAGTTTTAACAGCAAAAGGATTTCATAAGATCCTATAATCTGATATGCTTTTTCAAAAGTAAGAAAAATAAAATATATATATAAGGAAAGTGCGTAGAAAACTTTGAGTGGTTATGTCAACTACTTTTTGTGACACTTTTTTGGTTCATATCTCATGAAAATTTCATCGTATGTTCTCTACTATTATATCTTCAACCTATTCTGAAAGCATCATATGAAATGATTGCTTCTAGTCTAAAATCGTTTTTGAGATTTTGGGCCTTATTTATACATACTCTATAAACTTAGTAAAAAACGTTTCTGGACCCACAGATACTCTGAAACAGTTATCACTTAGAAAAAGATTTCAAAATAATGATTGCCTCATTTAAGATGAAGAACTGACTTTTTTTTTGAATGGTTGTGAACTTCAGTAGCTTTTGAGTTGAATTTCAACTTTGTTTTAAATAAGTTACTTACTTGAATAGCAACTGCATACCAAGTATTAGGCACTAATCCTATAAACGACAGAGTACAATTGGACAACGTTGTGCCGTTCGGTAAACTGCCTGGATAACAAATACTACCACATTCATCAATGGCTTGTCGTGTTGCATACGATATTGTTGATGCTAATGTTCCAGGAGTTTCGGTAGTAGTCGTTGCAACAGTAGTTGATAATGATGGGCAACCTTTATTTTTTGTACAACTTGAACCATTACAAGTAGTTCCGATACAACCGGAACAACTGCAAGAACATCCTTTTGCACACCAACTAGAGCAGCTACCACAACCACCTCTTTTGTTTCTAATATGAATAGTTTCTGAGTCTATAAACAATTTTTTATAGACATGTCTAGAAGCTTCATACTGGCGATGTTTGTCTTCAACTGATCGTCTTCGTCGATTAACTCCTGGTATGTATTTTGACCATCGACAACGCACATCATCACCGACGTTGGCATCCGAAACCGGAATTTTAATCTGAGTAGATGTATTCACAATAGCATATTGTGGAGAAACAACGCTTGCCACTGGTGGAGTGTTAATGAAGCCATCATCTCGAAGTCGAAGATCAATGAAAGTTGTTATTGACCATTGAAGACCTGTTTGAGCTGGATAATTCAGTCCTACCCAAGCACTTCCCATATATGATAAGTAAAAATGTGCATCAGCCGTCAATGTAATATTGACTGATCGTTCACTTGTCATCATACCTAATGCTGAACTGGTTGAAGTACAGTCAGTTAAAATATTAACTGGTTTAGTTGAATAGCCACCATCAGTTGAACAGTCAGCCGTACATGTCAAATTAGCATTTGCATTACTTCTTCCACTAGTTGAAATCGGTACATTTGTTGCACAACTTATAGTCGGGTACGCCCATGAGTATATCTGTGTGATAGTAATTGGAACTGTGGAGGAATTTGCATAAGGACTTATTGGCTCCCATTGAATGGTACCCCCGTTAAAATGCTTTCCGTCGATAAGAACAAAATAATAAAGTAAAGTCAGTGTATACGTAATCATTACGTTCTCGTTTCTCGTAAAAAATCAATATCTAGAAAAATTCATTGAATCTTTGTTTATCTATTATCGAAGATATAATTATAATTATTTCGCGAAAATTACACCTATTGAGCGAAGAAATATATCTAACTGTTGGACATCATTTGACTTCGCATTCAAGCTATCCGTGCTTCTCGGTGAGATTAAGAAAAATTTACAAGAATTCGAACCTACAGCCTACTATTGAAGAATGATGGCAGTTTTAATGAAATTTTTACTGAGTACAAATCATTTTCTACAAAATCTGAAGTAAGAACTTTGAATTGAAATTAGGCCTATAAGTGTCTCTAATAGTCATTGGATAGTCCTAAAAATATTAACAAGAACAAACATGTCTTTCTTGACCTATTCAATATCTAAAAATACGGCGGTTTACCAAAGGAGCACACACTATTAAATATGCTTGAATTATCATTAAAACTTCCAGAACTGTCTAATGACTATCAAACGTACCTATAGACATAATTTTAGTTCGAAACTGTTTGTTTTCGATTTTTCCCAAAATAACTTACCCTTAGAAAAATCTCATTTCAAAAGCTGTAACTCTTGATAAGTAGATAATGGATATGAATATTTTCAAGTTCTTCTTAGTATTACCGAGACCTACTCGTATATATAATGTGAAGTCAAACAGTTTCTGTCACTTGAATATATTTCCTCATTAGAAATAATAGGATTATCATATGAACAGAAAAAAAAACATTCAATCAAACGTCTTCTTTCAATACCCTGCAACAGATAAACTAAAATAAAATAAGAAAAAATAACTCGATTGAAAAGACTTTTCGGTGTGAGATTCTCTCACATTTTTCTAATCTTAATAAAGTCTATTTAATACTAAAACAAAACTCCTTACAAAAGCAATCTATCATAGTTGTACTGTTGAGAAAGTTACAGTTCTTACTGATCCTGATGATAGTATTTGAATGTATATTTGATGTGGTTTTCAACCAAGATTGTAATAATTTGTGTGACTGTCGTCTTACTGTCACATATAAAACAAAGATTTTTGTTTTTTTCTATTTGAAAAAAAGAATGTCATACTTTTCAATATTATTTTGATAAGAAGAATAATAATATTTTCATATCTCTATGTAAAATACAAATAGAAAAGTAATTAAAAA